GCTCACCACTGCGCCACTGTGCCTCCCGTCACCACGGTTTCGGGACTCTTTTTGCAAGACTGCAACGTTAGACGGAGAGAAGCCAGCGGACAGGCCGTACCTGAGCTCAGGGCGACCCCGGTCCCTCGATGGGAGATCGACATCATCATCGGAATGGACCAGCTGCAACGGGGCGGAACAAAGAGGGCCACTGCTGAGAACAACCCGACCATTCCCGCCCACCCCTTCCTCCTGTCCCAACGGGAGAAGTGACGGATTTTGGCCAGGCATCCCTGCGGCCACACAGCCCCTCGCGCAGGACTGACCCACAAGAACCGACGCGCTCCGGTCACGAAGCAGCCGGCTCGCAGGAACGCTACTACCGCGCAAGGAGGACGGGATTTTGCTTCGCTGATGCCGATTTTAACGCCTCTTTCGTGTCCACCCTGGAGGGGTCAGTTGGCGTGTCTGCAGCAGGGCTGTCCAGTCCTGGTCCCGGAGGGGTCAGTCAGTGTGTCTGCAGCAGGGCTGTCCAGTCCTGGTCCTGAAGGGGTCAGTCGGTGTGTCTGCAGCAGGGCTGTCCAGTCCTGGGGTGCAAGGAATCGATGGGGGGTGGGGGTGTGGCGATGGCCTACCTGTAGATGCTGATGTGGGGTGACAGGGGTCGCTTCAGACGGGCGTTCTTGTCCCAGAACTTGCTCATATCCTCCTTGGTGCTGGTGCCCATGGGGACGGCACTGGGATGGCAGAAAAAACGCAGGGAAAAAAAACAATACGCAATAAGCCGTTGTTACAGCTCCTACAGATTTGATCTTTTCCCTGCTGCCCCCCCTCCCCCGTCATCACCCGTCACCTGCCTCCGCGCCGTCTTCGATCAGAGACGGGAGAAACCCAACCTCCTGGGAATCGCAAGGCAGCTCTATCTCTCCATGGAGGTCGAACTAGAAGAACCGAGGAATCCATCGGCACGCAAGGCGGGTCTTTCGGCGTCTGTGTCACGGGAGCCACAGGGCGCGTGTGTCTGAGACACGCGCTCTCCTAGCGGTCGTCTGCGTGTCGTTAAAGGGGAACTGCGGTGCTGTGTGTGTGTTTCGGGGTGGGGGAGAATCCGCACTGAAGAGCGCATTTCTAACCACAGCGAAAGTCAAACGGACACCGTGACTTGTAAAACCTCCCCTTCGGAGCACAGAATAGACTCAATTCCCGGGTACGAGCAGCGCCGTGTTCTGGGACTCAGAACGAGACAACCAAACTTCCTGTGAGGGGAAGCAGCCCTATCACACCGTAAACAAGCGGGCTTGTGAACACCTCTTTAAATCCAGCAGAGATATGACTCCGATTTCGAGAGGGTCCTGCCGGGAGATTACGCTTTTACTCGTTACCTCGGCCTGCAGCTCACGTTGGAGACTCTCTGCAGTGAAACGCCTGCGGGTCGGGCAGCACCGAATCGCTCGTCCATCGCGGTGACTAGTGAGCAGGAAGGGCCGCTGCATGTCACAGTTTGGCGACGTGTTGTAGCCCTGTGGCACTGTAATCAAACGGGCTTGTGAACACATCTCTTCTAATCCAACAGAAATATCGCTCTCGACTTCGAGGCGGTTTTGCCGACAAATACACCTTACTTGTTAACTCAGCCTGCAGACCATGTTGGAAACTTCCTGTGGTGCGATATCTGCTGCACACCCTGGACTTATTTGCTCATACATCACGTTACAATAGTGATCACGGTGACTAGTGAGCTGGAAGGGCTGTTTCACGTCACGATTTGTGGGAACTCTCGCTCTCGCCTGTGGTGAGGCCAGGGGTCTGCAGCAACATAGCGACTCGCAGTACTTTCACAAAGTTCACGATTTAGCGCTTCATTCGCAAATTGTTTACATTTTTGGCATACCGTGGATAAATTCATTGTGTTACGGACATTTAATGACCGGTCTGAGAAACTGGGACCGCAGTTCCTCTTTAATACAAGGAGAGCCGCAGGACAACGTCAAAGAGCTGCGTGCAGTGCAGCCCACACGGGGATTGTGGGAAGGGAAGCAGGACTGTAGATGACGGTCCCCTTCGCCTCTCGCCGTCTCCCTGCAGGAGGGGAGCCGAGACCTTCTGCTCCGACAAGACTGGCGTCGGTCACGTGCTGCGGGCCGACACGCGTGCCCCTCGCGGGACTGCGGGACCGCCACGGCGAAGCTGGGCCAACTCTGCGGAGCAGATGGCCGACTGACCCAGATTCGTGAGCAGGCTGCCTCGGGGATGGTGGGGGAAGGGGGCGACAGCTGCCTTGCCTCTATCTGCCAACCTACGAGAGAGGTTCCCGGACTTGCCGAACGCCGCTGTGTGATGGGCAGGCCGGTGTCTGTTTGGGGGGAAGGGGAGTTGGGGAGAGGGGACGAACTCATCCCCAGCTGAACCCCGGAGGCCCGGCAGCAGGTTGCTGGAACTTGAAGATTGTTTCATGTAAGAACACGGGTGTGCGTGCGACCGGGAGTACATCAGCTCTCGACACCTTCTCTCCGCCAAGATCTCACTCCCCAAAACAACGTGCAAAAATCCTTTTTAGCAACGGACGTTTACACCCACTTAGCAAGTGGACCCACCAGGCCAACAGAACAATTCAAAGTCTTGATCCGATCAAGACCAAGTTAGACCAAGTGCTGTCCAGTCCTGGTCCCGGAGGGGTCAGTCAGTGTGTCTGCAGCAGGGCTGTCCAGTCCTGGTCCCGGAGGGGTCAGTCAGTGTGTCTGCAGCAGGGCTGTCCAGTCCTGTTCCTGGAGGGGTCAGTGTGTGTCTGCAGCAGGGCTGTCCAGTCTTGGTCCCGGAGGGGTCAGTCAGTGTGTCTGCAGCAGGGCTGTCCAGTCCTGGTCCTGGCCGTTCAGCACGTCTGCAGGTCAAGGTGTCTTTAAAGCAGTTGGAGACGGAGCAGCTGGGACTGGCTGTTTAATTGGTCCTGATTTAGCTCGTTAAGAACCGAGCAGGAGTGGAAACTAGCAGACGCCCGCTGACCCCTCCAGGACCAGGACCGGACAGGCCTGGGTAAGACAGTGGCCAGGCACTTGGAGAGCGTGCCGGAGATCAACAGGGCGCTTACTGTCTGTACACCACACACGCCTGTGTCCTGGAGAGCACTGCCGGACGGAGCATCGACCTGCAAGAGAAGGGAAACACGAGAAACTTGCTGGAGATGCAGTGTGGCTCCAAGACGACAGCGAGGGGAAGCCTTTCAACATCCCCCACTGTAACGATCTGAGACTGGGACACTGAATTACTGCAACAGCATTCAGAAGCTACATCCCCCTGCAGCTCCCAGCTGGCAGCCCCACTGGAGCTCAGCAGTGTGAGTCTGGTCAGCACCTGGATGAGAGACTCCTGGGAAAGCTGAGGCTGCTACTGGGAGAGGTGTTAGTGGGGCCAGTAGGGGGCGCTCACCCTGCGGACTGTGGGGGTCCTAATGCCCCAGTATAGTGACGGGGACACTAGACTGTAAAATAGGCACCGTCCTTTGGATGACACATAAAACCAAGACACCAGGGTAACACCCCGACTCTTTTCGAGAGACGCCCTGCAATTTTTAATGACCACAGAGAGTCAGGACCTCAGTTTTACGTCTCATCCAAAGCACGGCGCTTTTATTTACAGTAGAGTGTCCCCGTCACTATACTAAACTATACACTCACACCTCTCCCAGCAGCAGCCTCAGCTTTCCCAGGAGTCTCCCCTCCAGGTACTGGCCAGGCTCCCACTGCGGAGCTCCAGTGGGGCTGCCAGTGCTGAGCTGGAAGGGGATGTAGCTGCTAAATCCTTGAGAGAGACCTTCAAGCAGGGAGCTGCGTCAGCAGGCGTAGGCTGCAAAGGAACAAGTGAAGGTTTATTCCGCGCTGAAAAGAAAAGCAAATCAGGCACCTGAAGAAGGCTCCACAGCTGAAACATCGTGTCTCTTTTCTTTTCAGCGTGGAATAAACCTTCACTTGTTCCTTGAGAGAAGTCGCCTCTCCTTGACATTAACATACAACGGAGGCTTGCTTGCTGTGGCTACAGTTGCACGCCTGGAACAGAGTTGGGATCACACGGGAGAACTATGGGGAAGGGGTTTAACTGGGACCGGCAGAGGACAGCCCATCCCCCCCTCAACAGGACACGCTAGTTTTGGGGGTACCGGTGTTCTCCGCAGTTAAGGAGAATCTTACACAGGCGCAGGGAACCGATCTGGGGGGTTCATTTCATTGCTCTGCAGGGCCACTGGGCCAGTCGAAGTGAAGTCCCTCAGTTCAAGGGGACATCAGGGGCGTCTCGCCCGGGGGTTGAACCCGTGCCCCTCCGGTCCAGGGCCGTAATCGCTCCTCCGCGCTGGTGTCCGGAGAGCGACTCAAGACTCATAACCGGTCAAAGTTCACCAGAAACTACGACTCCTGCCATCTGTGCATCACCTAAGGGCGGTTCATCTCCATCACCTAAGGAGGTTCATCTCCGCTGCTTTCGCCACGTTTCTAAGGAACTAGCAATCAGAGCGGCTCTTTGTGTTTCACAACTTCACCAAAGATATATATTTTAAAA